CATCAGCACCACCCAACCATGAATTTCATACATCTGCATCTGCAAAGCCTTGGTCTATTCCAGAGCCAAGTCCGCCAGTTATCACTGAACCTGCATCACCGCACCTCTTTGGTGGCTTTCAGGGTCTCAGCAGCCTCTTTGGCTGCCTCCGGTGAAGGCGTCGTCCGGTGCGACAGTCCGGTGCGCGGTGCCACCGCGCCATGCTCCGTCAGGTGTGGTGTCACGAACAGAAGGATCCGAACATCCGCCAGAACGGCCCATGTTCTTTGAAAGGAAGGAACGGCCGGAGTTCAAAGAACAGAATGATCAGTTGAAAGAAGGAAAGGGAATGGAAAGAGCAGAATTTGCTTCTGGAGGATCCCGGGAGTTCGACCTCCGGAGTGAGTTCGACCACTAAGCGGGTGCGATTGAAAGACCGGACCTCGCCGGCGGACCTTGCCAGCGGACCTCAATCGAGTCATGGTTTCTGGTCGATCAAGAAATACGCTGGGCACACCCAATGAAACGATCTGCGTTCGCCCACCAGAAGAGCGACTCTTTTCAAGGATGCTTAATGGATCTTAATGGACCAACACACCTGAATACGATTTGTTCAATGCTTAGTGGACCAACACACCTGTGACGACTGAGAAAAGGGATCTGGAACTTGGTGCTGAAGATCTTCCAAACACTCCAAGAGCAAAAAAACATCTCCAAAAAGAAACAAACACCAGGACCTTCCCAGTGACCTAACTTGAGATCCCAGTGGCTGAGGTCACTAAAAGGCCTTGAAAAGGTCCTCTTCAGAGGTCACTGGGAAGGTCCTGGCACTTGGATCCTACTCAGATCATCTGAAGAGAAGCCGCGGCTGGATTGAAGAGGCAGTCAGACCAGCCGCTGGGGCCATACTCCCAAGTGGGTCACGGTGGAATTCGGAAAACGAAGCGCAGTTTCTGAATACGACTTTGTTCCTCCCACGTGCCGCTGATTGAAGGGGGGCCTTGGCTGATTGAAGGGGATCGACACCAGATTCTCGGACACAAAAAAAGGCACCCCCGATGTGTTCGAAAACCAAAGAACACCGACTGACTCCACTCTCAGACTCGAAAACATCAGTTTCATCGACTCTTGATTTCATCCGCTGGTCCCGAGTCAGCCGATTCTTGATTCTTCACATTCGACCGCCCCAGTCACAGGAGTCGATGCCTTGGGAGCACCCCCGAGCCTTCTCGACTTTATTGATGACAGCTTTCTCGTGTTCCTGGGTATGAAAGCAAGAGTGAAAATAATTGAAGATAGGGGCATGTCTACCAACGGCTTTCTCGCTTCTGGGGAGTTCATGTCTAGCAACTCATGACAGTGCGCTGTGGGT